ACACATAAGAACACATGCTGATAACTTCTTCTGATGCAGCTTCGGGTTTCGGCCACACGACCGCTCACCGCCACTTAATTACATACATTACAACTAGCATGCGACTTGCATGTGAGCGTGAGTGTATGTGGCGGCATATTAAATTGCAAGCTGTATATTTATGCGAGCGCATATGCTTACGCTCGTACAATCGCCGTACATATACTTAGTGGAAACACTTTAAGTAAAATGCTGTACCCACGTAAATACCAGTCACTTAAATGAACTACAAGCACCACATCGCCGCAAGCGTGCAAACACACACTCGGCAAATCAATGTGGTGTTGTACCCCAAACAATTTTCTTCGCACCTGGCCACCCGTTTTTGCCGTACACACCGCCGTTGAGTGTGTGTATGTGTCCGCGCTGTGATCACCTGGAGCCGTGAACAGACATTAACCACACATTACTCACACGTAAGAATGCCGAAATGCTATATGGCCGGTAAAAGCATGTGTCGTTCGTCGCCGACGCCTCGGGCTTTGAGTGCCTCTTCTTGCATTTAAGCTCGCCTCGCTGCTGCAGCACTAAATATGACCCGAATAGTATCGACCACCCCTGCCTCCGCTTGCACTGGTACTGCCGCCATTCATTTGATTGTCTTCTTTAAGGGTCCGCCTCATTGGAGGAGTGCCTGCCTGTGTGTGGACAGCGTACAAGCGCAAATGCAGAAAGTTGCACAAGCTGGCTGACTGCTTGGCGTTGATAGCAGTGCGGTGGCTACAGCAAAGCTCCGTTCGAAAAAATATCTTGTTTCATATGTACGTTGGACGTTAATAGTCCCGTCAATCGAGTTTACTTGCTGCTGCGACCGGCTGATCTGATCAGCGATTGCTTAGAGTGCAGAGAGTTGTGAGTGTTTTGGCTTCGGCTTCGGCTTTGGCTTTGGTTAGCAACACAACCACATACATGTGCATTTACTTCGAGCGCGGCTTCAGTCGCAATTCCCAATGGTGCCGTGTGGAACTCACCAGTGTGTTACAACTCACTAGCTTGCTGGCGTAAAGTCGCACTCGATCTCTGCAAGTAGGTGACTTGTTGGTCTTGTATGCACACACACGACTATCTCATATTTATGTTGCTTCTTTTCCTACTGTTGCTCCCGCCAGTTAACTTTCCTGTTGTTGGCTCTTGACTTTCGTATTACCTTTCGGAATGTATATATGTTTTTATTTTCGTTATTTTTACTTCATCGTCTCGTAATCGGGTAACGAATCATACTCGTTGTTGTGTCGTATCAACAGCCACTAGTTGGATGTTTCTTAATCTTTTACTGTATGTACAGTTGTGGTCATATTCATAGAAAGCAGAAATGGAAGATAAAATAAAATGTTCGAAATATTGCAAGCAAAACGTTTTAGTCTTTTTCCAGCATAGCCATCAAGAACTTCTTCAATTCGGGTTTTATATTCTCAATCAAGTCCGCCCAGCATTGTACATGAGAGTTTGGTGAATAGCCAGAAGTCACACTAATAGTGGGATTCTGTAACCAGTCTCTAGTCTCTATTTGAGCCATTTTGTAGTAAAATCTCAATTTGTGACTAGTTGCTATTCACTAACAGCCTCAATGCCAACATATATTTTTATTTTTATTGATAATTATGTTTTTTGACTATGTTATAGAAATTTAATATTTGTTGTCGACATATTTATTTTCATTCAAGTATAAAAACATCTCTGAATAATGAAATGTAATAGAGTTTGTGACTATCAYTTACAGAATAGCAAAATCGTCTCAAGTCTCAAAAATTGTCTCTGTCAAATTTAGAGACTTGATACTGCATCACAGTACAGAATCGCACGGTAAGATAAATTATCGTGTTGAAGCCACCAAGAGTTGCTCGCCCATAAGTCCAAGTGTTTCATAATATTCTTGGTTGACAGTTTGGTCTGGCGAGGGATTCATAGTGCGTCACAACACGATAATAACCTCACCATACTTTTTGATGACAGTAGTAGCTATTGGCTTGGCTTTGTTTGTGAGATGTTTTAGGATGGACTTATAAAAATATCCTCTTTATACGAGTAGTAAGGGATGTTGGTACCATGTACACAAGGGAGGATGGAGTCATGTGTTGAAGTTCACGCAAGTAAAGAAAATTATGTGAGCGCCATTCTCTTGAGAGTGGCCAGAAACGTTTATTTTACATATGGTTCAAGCAGCTGACGACATCCGGTCTTAGACCAAGTACTATCTGGGTAACCAAAAAGCTTTCGTTTGAAGGCGAGCTGAAGTGAGGAGGCGAAAAATCCCTCACTATAGTTGTTCGCTGGGTTTGCGACCCGCCACGTAAAAAAATATTTAACATTTACACGTAATTCTCTGTGGGTGCTTTTATATTTCCTACAACCTCTTCTTCATATTACAGTTGTATTCTCCTTCACATACCCCATTCTTCCTTTTTTTAAATTACTTACGGTTCATAGTATTAAGACTGTAACTGTATGTATGTATATGTACATAAGTATGTAACTATTGTTGCTATTGCTTCATGCTTTTATTTGCCGCTCGGCTCTCAAAGCATTTGCGGTTAGTCATTTAGTCTTCTTTCTTGCGTTGCCTTTATTTCGTTGACCAATTGAGATTATTGAAGTTTATCTTTTCTTTTGAATTTGCCTTGAATGTTGCTGTAGTTGGAGCCTTAGACTTGGAGAGCGGAAAGCTTTCACATCGAAAAAGTTTAGATATATGTATTGGCTATGGAAGTATATACATTTCTATGGAATTTTATTTTCAATAAAATCGGAAATACCATTATACTATGTTTAAGTATCACTGTGATATTTCGAGACAACTCGAGCTCCTCATCTGCAATCGAGAATACCATGCTCGGAAAGAGAATGAGAGTCAAATATGATTATAACAGTGCCTCTGTAAATGGATGTATTCTGTTGATTCTTGTGGTCAAGTGTCGCAGTCTTGTAAGGCACCTTTTGAAAATCTGGAACCCGGAACTCTACAACATTTAAAGTCTTTCCATTTGCCTCATATTAGAAGCGGCTGGAGGGTTCTGCGTAATTCAAGACAGTTATTCAATATTCGTGTTTGTAATCAATAATATTTCTCTGTCTTTTCCACAAATGCTGATAGCTAGCGATTTGAGGAACTTGTTACGGAGCTGTTCGTAATTGTGTTTGTCATCCAGCTGAAGTCTGTCAAACGTGATACCCAATAATTTGGGGTTATTGATTGACGTCGACTAAGAATTGGGGAAATGTCTTTATCCACAATATCCTCAATAATAAATAGTATCTGCTTACCACATCACTTTAGGTAGAGTGTCATCCGCCCCGGCTTCCATCGAGGGTGAGTTGAGAACCACACTCTCGAAGCCATAATTTATAGTCCACTGTGCGTCGCTAAACGGAGCGAAAGACTCTATATATTTTTGGTATATATCGCTTGTCGATATATCTACTTTAACCTCTCCTGTCTAATAATCCTCCAGTCGGGGGTGAGTGGAGGATTGCAATAACTGAAAATCTCTATATTCGGCGGTGGAGCGTTCGGCTGGATGACAGGCAAGAGTTTGAGAACGCATCTAAACAAAATCTGATAGAATTAATTGAAATTAAGAGTATCATTATAGAGTTAAAAATAAAAAAAACCAAATGGACCAGTAATACCTTCGATTTAATTTGATAGCAGATTTGAATACAGGTTCATGTTTCGTTACAATTCTTCTACTCGAAATTTGATTGTAGTTACTATCTAGTGTTAACTGTTTAAACCGTGAAATATTTGCCTCGCGTGTGATCCTTTCTATTCACCAACACACATGTACTTAGGTGGCTACGTAGTATCTCGGCACTTACAGACTTAATTTTCATGTTTCACTCGCTTTTGTAATTCCAGACATACGAACATATCAAATCCAACACAGAATCACTCCTGCCAGCAGGTGCTACTTCAGGCCGAGTAAGCAATTGAAAAGTAAAGTCTTCTCTCGACGAACAAAGATCAAACGCTAGAAGTTTTACATCATTCCCATCCTGCTATATGGTGCGGAGGGATGGACAATGACTTCAGCTAATGAGTCCGCCTTAAGAGTGTCCGGGAGAAAAGATTTACCGAAGGTTTGTGATCCGGATGAAAGATAACACTCGAGCTTTGAAGTTTTCAATTCAGTACCCACCGGCGGAAGCAGAGAAAGACTTCCACTTTGTTCGAAACCCCATCTGAGACGGACATGCCTGCACTTGATATCTCGAATAAGCGCCAAATAGCGAAAATAAAAAACGACTGGCGCTAGAACGCATTAGTAGTGTCTACGCCAGTAAAGAAGAAGAAGGAAACGTTTGAGATTCTCTAGAATTGTATATGAACGTATAAATGATCACCTTGACGAGCTGACACGATTTAATCATGTCTGTGATATGAACTAGTACCACAGTTCTTAAATTCTGCACATGTCCTTTTCTCCTCACAGGGTTGCTCATTTGCTGGAACCGCCGATATCGAAACAATAGAGCATATAGCCGTCGTACGAACTGAACGATCAAATGCGTGTCCTTGTATGGAAACATTTTTGATTTGACGAGATATCTTTACGAAATTGAGAATGGAGTATTGTCCAAGGCAACACTTCCATTTCCGAGTAATTTTTTAAGATCGGATCACTAAATCACTCACATAGCTGTCAAACAAAGTGAGCGATAAAAAATCAAGTTTTTGTGAGAAGACTTGCACCTGTGGAGGGTATCACGCTTCGGTGCTAGTAAAGCCGTAATTTTTTCTCTTTTTTTTATTGCTTTTGCTTTCACAAATTTCTGTCGAATGTTATTTAAGCAGAAGTGCGCCTGCATTAATGGACCACAACAAATATTATAGGTTTTTTAATGTGGCAAATTTCGTTTAATTTTCGGTAGTGTTTTTGTGGTAGCTTTAAACTGCAGAGCTCTTCACATTTCTTTGCTTCAATATTTTAATGTTACCTTCATCTTTTCTTTTATCTTTGCAGGCTATTTCACGTCATTACTTTTTAACGGTACGTAGCTGAAATTTATTTATGTTTTATATCCTGAAAAAGTGAGTGAGTGAATGTAACACTATGAGCAAATATTTGCGGGGTCTCGGGAAGCGCAGCAGCGAAAAGTGGTCTTAAAGTGGAGCACAGCTAACTAAGGCTGAGAAAGACCGGCTGTGGGAATATCTGTGCATGTGTGTGTGTTACTGCATTTTCTATACGAACTCAAGAAAGCAAGAGCGAAAGGAAGCGAGTGCAGGAGACAGAGAGCGCATAGCCGTAATGAATGTGTATGTGTGTGTGAAATGTGTGAAAACTAGTTTATGACAACATTACAGCTCAACGCTGGCGAATAAATGCGCTATTTATGCGAACAGCTAAAGTACCAGTGGTAGCAAAACAGCAACAAATCAACGAAGAAGACACACGAGTATGTGCGAGTATGTGTCGTTTTGCCGCAAACAATAATAACAACAACATACGCGCAAGTGGAAGCAACACAGAATCTCATGCAAACCACTTGAAGAAGCGCTTGCAACACACCTCAGCGCCACGTTCGACGCAGCGCCAAAGCAAAGCAACTGCAGAGGACGTTTCTTTGTGGCGCGCAGAGTTGCATGGCAAGTTTTATTATTTTTCTTTGCTGGCATTGAAGTTGCTGCTGCAGTTGACTCACTCGCCAAGTGGTGGCTGCGATCTTGCCACCATTGCTTGCACTCGCCTCGACTATTGCAAATATATATATGTATACGTACATATGTATGTATGTAGATATTTTTAAATCCACTTAGATACACGCGTGCTCCGTGGCGCATGCAGTCCACTTGGAGTCGCCACGGCCGGGCTTACTGCCTGCGCACATTCCCAACTAAATGCCTCTTCTTGGTTGCGCTAAGCTCACCGCCGTCGCTTCTGAGGTGTGTAATTCCCATTGCATGCCTGGTGTCGTTTACTTACCGGCATTTATTTATTTCTTGCCTTGCCCACTCCGCCCTATGCCTTAGCATTGTTGCTATTATTGCTTTTATTTATGTTTTGTTGATGAAGCTGACAAAATGCGTAGTTATTCTGCATGCCGCAGCGTCATTACAGAAAGTATTTACCATAACATTTGCCGGTTTAGCTGTTTGAGCTGATTCGCAAAGAATCTACGCATAAGCGCGGTAAAATTTGAAGATACCAATTTGTTTGGCAATAACCTCGGTGAGGTCTTGGAAATCTCATTGCTTTGCAGTTCATAAGACGATAAAACTCACTTTTGCCAACATTTTTTCCAGTCCTCGAAACAGTCTTCGATCTTACTTTTTTAAAGAAAAAACCCAGTAACTTCAAATTTAATGGGGAATGATTATTATTATTCGAAGGAAAATTTTTTGACTTTAATTTTTTAAAGAATATCTTTTTCAAATCAAATGTTGGCCACGGCTGCGACTCAGATATCCATCCTTTAAGTCAAATTTTCGTTTAAAAGAAATATGGGCCGATGATTCCACCGGCCGACAAACCACACCAAACCCTTGCATTTACTGGATGAAATGGCAGCTCAAGCTTGAAGCTGGCAAGCTTCAAATTGCTCTTCTCAGAAATGCGGGAATTTTGTTTGTTTCCATACCCATTTAGTCAGAAATGGGCTTCATCGCTGAATAAAAATTTTATTGGAAAACCTTGAAACTTTTCAAGAATCCATAGTACGAAAGAAAGGCGCTTGAGAGGTCAAGATGGCTGATGGTGTTGTTCAGACGTATGTCTGAGGAAATGCCAAACAATACTGAACAAAAATAACATGACCGCTTATTATGACTCACTCGTGATTGTCAAAAAAAGTTTATTGATCTACTTGGATCACCCGTTATGACCCTGCATTGACTTTTTGAGTTTTCTGATTACTCAACCGTATTCTACTGAGAGCGCTCTGCATCGGTGCTGTGTCAGAATGAGCAATGTTTTGCCTATAAGGCGGGTGGGGCAAAGCTTCCCAGCCGCTGTTTTCTAAATACGTCTAGCAACATAAGGCTGAGAGTTGCCATAACAAAAAATATTTGCCTCTTAACTAGTCGCGACCTTCGGGTATTTTTCGGCAAAGTTTCCACCCCAATTTTATGAGCGGTTGTCGGTAGAGTTCCTCATTAATGGATTTACCCTGTTTAAGAAAGCCATAATACAGCACGCCCTGCTGATGCCACCAAATACAGAGCACTATTTTGGCGTCATTTCCGATTTTGTTGTTATGTTTGAGCGGTAGAAAACAAGCAGGAATACTGCCGAGCTGACAGTCATTGACCGGATGAAAATACGGGTCGATTCTGCTTAGGTAGATCTGAATGTGCTGGAAACGGTCCACACTTGGCGAACGTGATGGAGCGACTGCAGACAACCGTAGACAAAATACGACGCATTTTGCGGAGTGATTGTGGTCTCGGTCGTCTTGCTGTTCGCAACAATATCTTGGCTTGTTTGTGACCTTTGCCATTTATGGAGCCGCTGTATGGTAAGAAGCAGCCGCGACAGTCTTGGAGCCCCAAACGCTTTCCATACAGCGTTGTATGCTGCTTCCCTGTATCTCAACGGATGATATGAAGATTCTGTTAGGTGCATCCCCTCTTGTCCTGATTGTCATAAAGCGTGCTGTCGCGTTCAGGTTAAGGAGTTATTGAGTGTGTCCTTGTTGTTAAATGACTGTAATTCTTATGATGTTGTGGAGAGGGAGGGGCTTCTACATGACCGGGTCAGGTGTAGGTGGCAATACTGTTGGGACATTAGTCCTAACGGCCGAGTGACTTATGAGTACATTCGGGACGTTGGGTTTGTTGACGATAACCCAGACTTTAGATTTTGTCTAAGTCAGTATTTTCTGTTTATGGGACATGAGTCCCGTCTGCATGCACTTTTGCATCAGAGGCACCTATCTGATAGATCGGTTTGTTTTTGTGGGGCGGGGGTAGGGGACTGGGTGCGTATGTATACGTAATTGCAGAATGCCCGATATACTCGGATATTAGAAATCTGGGTGGTATGGGGATTAGCTGGACTCATGGACGTTTAGATGTTAGCGAGTCAACTCGGCGAAGTAAAAAGTCGAACATAAAAATTGTATGGACTTTTCGAACCACCATTGTCACTCACATTCTCGAAATTCTTCGTTATATTGTTTTTCATGCCTTGCGTTCATTTTAGGTGTTATTATAACGTTATAAAGAATGTAGAATAATAATTCGTAGAAACGACTGTCCCGCTAGAGAGTAACAAGGCAAATATTAATAATTACAAGCAAGCAATAAAATAATAACAGCTCAACTAAAATGAAATATACCCGCATATAATCGAGGAAGTTCACCAGCGCTGGGCATAAACATTCACCAAACATTCTAAGAAGAAGCGCGAAGGAATCTCATATACAAACCTACATAGCATTTACTTACCACATAATACTTTCCTCGCGCTACTTCAGCCTCGCACTTCCACCGTTTGGCACTTGCTGTCGTGAGTTGTGCAAATAACTGTATACAAAGTGTGCATAGGACTACAAGCAATAACACCGACTGTCTAACAGTACTAATGCCATGAAATGTGACGAAATTAATAACTTCCTTAATTGCCGTCGACAACGCCAATACCTCTTAACTCACCTCATGGTCGTCATTTTACAAGCCGCACAATGATTGAGTTGAGCATTTACCAAACATCATAGTTCGTTGCGGTTCTCGCACAACTGACAAACTCTAACATCGCGTTATACTACGGACACACGAACACTTTTGCCGTACAAAAGTAACGCCTCGGGCCCTCGCCACTGTAAAGAAATGGAAAAAATAGTGTACATACAAGCTTACTTAGTTGTTCATACGAGTATGTACTTGAGCAGTGAATTGAACTCACCGCCCATATTCTTTTATAAGCTGCGACCAAATGTTTACTACGTAAAGCGCAGTCTCCTTTAATGCCCAGTTTAGATAGTTTACGCTTAAAATAGCAACATTTTCTTGCTTAATCTTGAATGTACATATCTTTCAAAATATTTTCAGCAAATTTTCATGTTTATGCAACTAATTTCGGAGATTTGAGTTTATTTGCAAGAATTGTTTGGTAAGTCGTAGTTTTTGTTAAAAATCTAAGTTTTTGCTACCGTTCATCATCTATTGCAACAATACATTTCTGTGGCTTTTAAGTTCATCGCTCGACTTACCTTCAAACGGCGCAAGAAACACGTGTCCAACGTGAGCATAGCCTCTTATGCTAACTGCCAATATTGCGGCATGGAACTGGAGACTCCAGAACACCTGATTCTAAATTGCCCAGTAATTTGTAGCAGCAGGCTGAAGGCGCTTAGATTCGTTTACGTGGACAGTGTGACATCACCTCCATCGCACCCAGCAAGCCCCTGAAATTGTAAACGTATGTGATATAGAAGTAGGCACAATAGACCATAAGTCGATGTCCAATATTAATTTCTATATACTTACAAAGTGCGTTCCTTAGTAAACAGGACTTTTTGAATCTATATGTCGGCTAGTGCGTTAGAATCTACTATATGGAAGTGAAGTTAATACATTTTAAGTGTCAGTATGTGTGTATTATCAATGCGAAAATGAGCTGCGAACAAAGTTTCAACATTAAATTATGTTCTAAAATTGGTAAAACTTTTACCGAAACGTTTCAATTGATGAAACAAGTTTATGGTGATGATTGTCTATCCCGTAGCAGAGTGCACGAGTGGTTTCAATGTTTTCAAAGTGGTCGTGAGGACATAAATGACGATCAACATGCCAATCAAAATCCGTGATCATCGGAAATTCCACCGAAACTGTGCGTGTATTTATCATCATCAAAAAACATAATTGAAATTCATGGAAATGGAATTGAACATCTAAAGAACATCGATTTATCGCATTTTGATCGATCATTTGGGATTACGAAAGGTGTGTGCACGGTTGTTCCGCACAAACTGACTGACGACCAAAAATTGCTCAGAATCCAACATTCGAAGGACGATTATTTGACCAAAAATCACATTTTAACCATTG